CATAATTATACCGGAGTCAGATTTAAGGAGGAGACAAACTTCTGAGGTTTGTTAGTTTGGGGTCCTCTTTTTCAAAATACTGATCGCAGGAACACGTACACTTTTTTTTTCTAGAAATGCACAACAACTGCTTTATATATAAGACATGCAGACACATTCTATGAGTCAGATATGGGGGAATATAACTATACCCCACCCCAGTGGCGGATCCAGAGGGAGGGGGAGGGTTGGAACCCCCCTTTTCAAGTTTTTGGACGATTAATACATTTGAATGGGGACACATAGTTGGAACTCCCCCCTCAGTTTTTATCCTGGTTTGGGAACCCCCTTTCAAATGGCTTGATCCTCCCCTACACCCAGTTCAACTTCCGTAAATCTAAATTAATACGCCCTGTAAACTGTTCTCTGATGCATTACTGAATATTGATAACACCCAGGATTTTGAAAGGCGGGAGGGGGTCCTTAGCAAACCAACGTTTGAATTTAAACTTGTAAAATGTCAATGCATTATCATACATATAATTAAAACTCCATAAAGCTCCATATGGGGGACGCCCCATCTTCATCCCGAAATCTGCCCCATGTTTCAGAAAGATTCGCTCAGAGTCCCTACTGATGTTCTGGTTTGTTTTCAGATTATCTGGTACATGCGGTCATGTATCCGCTGTCCTGCATCAGCTTATCGAATGGTCTCAAAGGAATAAACAGATGGACTCCTCATTACGTTGTGAAAAGAAGATTGATATCAATGACAATACTCCTTGCACTTCAAAACAAAACACATGGAAACCACCAAAAAAGAAATCGGTGTTGCCTAAAACATGTATAGCTGACTACACATTTCATAAAAACTTATCTGTATGGGAAAACCAGCCAACAAAACGCAAGCAAAAACGGGATTACAAAACATTCAATTCAGACCCCTCATTAACTGAAGACAAAATAACAAGTCGTGTTCAGGATGCAATTGATAAGTTACAACTGTCAGACAGAATTTGCCGTGTACAAACAATATTGCAACTAAAATATGTCAAGAATGAATAAATATTTTTTCAACAACACGATTCTCTTTCAAATTGTATTTTTGTGTATTTTAATTGCATTGAAATATTCTTTATCAATTTCTATTATTCATATACTCGACTGGCGGTTTCATCTGTTACTTTTCACCAAACTGGTTACGTGCTGGTTCTTAATTATAGGTAAACAGTATTGCAAAATTGGATAAAAATAAATTACTATGACATGTATGACGCTGCAGGTAACTATATGTAAAACTGAATGTGTTCTCGTGCCAACCAAGAAACAAATATTCATTCTGACCAACCAATAGATATAAGAAGATGTGGTATGAGTGCCAATGAGACAACTCTCCATCCAAGTCAAAATTTATAAAAGTAAACCATTATAGGTCACAGTACGGTCTTCAACACGGAGCCTTGGCTCACAACGAACAGTAAGCTATAAAGGGCCCCAAAAATTACTAGTGTAAAACCATTCAAACGGGAAAACCAACGGTCTAATCTATATAAAAACGAGAAACGAGAAACACTTATGAACCACATCAACAAACGACAACTACTGAACATCAGATTCCTGACTTAGGACAGGTGCAAACAATGCATGTATATAATGTAGGGAGGGTGCTGATCTTTTTTTATTATTGAAATATCTCTATTCATTTCTAACAATTTTATTGACTACACATGAGACTGATTTTATATATCAAATATTCATAGAATTCAAGAGAAAAATGTGCATTTCAAATGATGCTATAATGCGGGCCGTTACCCCGTTATCACAGTACAATTTATAACTAAATTTCAGTCCAGTTCTAAATTAAATCACCGGGAAAATAGATGGAGATATTATTTAATCAAATGTATAATTATATGTTCCAATCTTTTCTTTTTCTGTTGCTGATTGCTATGTATGTATTGTTTTGTTTCGTGTCTGTTTCTTTTCCTGTTTTTTTTTTCAATTTTCACTATTGTTTGTATGTTTGATTGTTTGTTTGTTTGCTGTTGTCTATTTTAGCATGACATGTTTGCTATTCAGATGTCAGTTTAACTCTGTTTTGCAAGTAATTATTTCTTATGACCAACGTTTGAATATTGCATTCTTAATATTAGCTAATGATAGACAAAGAGTGAAGTTTAGAGGTATTATTTATCTCTTTAATGTTTTCGGATTTGAGATCTGCATGTTAACATATTATATGCTGTACACTTCTTCGGCTTCAATCTCCCCTTCAATTAACAAGTCGACTAACCCAAGCACTAGCTCATCGTCATACACTCTGACGTCAATCTCAGGAATGTCAGGGTCACCGTCACAGACGTTTTCTAAATTTACAATGGGCTCTGCAATATAAAATGCTTCTATGTTTTCCTCTGTGTTTTCTTCGCTTTCATTTAAAAGCTGTTTGCAAAACTTTTCAATGAGCACTTTACGGCGAGCGACAAGTATAGGATCTGCAGCGGTGACAAATGCACGTTGGAAATTTGTAAGGTAAGCGATGTTTTGTATATGTATTGAAGCCAATTGAAACGAAGATATCGGAATTCTCCTGGTTAAGAATCTGTACGATTTAATTCTACCTATCGCCTGTTCTACAAAAATTCGGGTAGATGCTATGTGCTTTGTTTTTTCGACCTGCTGTGGGTTGAATTGTTTCTTATTTTTATTGGCAAACGGAGGAACCAGAAGTTGCGCACCCTTTTCCTGAAACTGTCTCTGAAGGGTGAAACCTTTGTCGGCCATGTATACCTCGCCAGATTTAATATTATCTAACAAGCCTGACTTTTGGCACATTTCAACATCTGTTGTACTGCCAGGGAACAGGTCAGACATGAAAGATAAAGACCCCCATAAAGTGCAACCAACTAATACCTTTGCCGTATGACGACTCCAATATTCGGACCAAAATACCGACTGTTTATCAAGTTCACTAGGCTCATCAACCTCAAATTCTGTACAGTCCAAAATCATAACGCAGTTTGGAAATTTTTTAAGTATATCAGGGGGACATAATGTCTGTAATTCGTCCATTGTAGGGTTCATATTAATTTTTGAAAATATTGATTTGATGTGACAGGCCCATGTTGACAAAATACATGAAACAGAAGATATTGAAATATTGAACATAGAAGAAAGAACGGTTTCACTTATGTCTTGTCGTAGCCTCAGTAAATACATAAAAAAACTCGTCTTGTGCTGATAAAGCTCTGTGTCTACCAAAATTTCCATCCAAATTCTTCTTATCATAAGACCAATACTGTTTAGGTTTGTCAAATAGTGTAAATAGTATCTCAAATGTGTGGTTATCAGGTAAGCCGGTTAATTCTTTTATCTTTGTATCACTGTTCTTGAAATTGTTATATCTGAATAGTTTATTACTGAGCATATGTTTTTCATTTGATAAGATAGTGTTTATGATTTTTTCTTGTTCTAGCGCTTTTTCTAGATCTCGTATTTTCTCTTTCAGTTTGTTCTGTTCTATTTCATTTTCCGTGGCCGTGGGGTTTGGTTGACAAGCGTCACCAGAAGGCAATAAAGGTAATTGAGACCGAGATTCATTGTGAAAGAAAGTTGAATTATCATCTGCTTCTGGTTTATCTAGCTTTACTTTAGATTTTTTTTCTATCTTTTGAGTTTTGCGCTCACATTTTTTCCCAATTTGTTTGCCAATTGACAGGTCGGGAATACCATTACTCAGAACTTTTTCACCAGCGAAAAAATGTTCAGAACAAATTCTTGTTGCCGTATTTACGTTTTCTTCCCCTAAGTTTAAGGCACTTAACCACTTTTTTCGTAATTTGTTTTTTGGAATTCTGAAAAAGCTCAAGTTTTGTGAATTTCTGGATGTATTTGGGCAAACGGCACATGTCCAACCCATTATTATTGACGTTTTCTTGTACCAGTTACGGTAAACGTTATGGCGTCCTTAGAAACAAAATGGCGTCGCAGCGTACACCAAAGAATATTACCCATGATGCATTAGATTCTGAAACGGCGAATTTTACTGCACCTGAAAAACCAAAATTTATATGGACGTTGAAGAATCAAATAAAAAAAGACTTTAAGGATATAAGCCAAATCCAGACAAGAAAGCATATTAAACGATCATTACATGTATCAGTATGAACTACTTGTATAAATCACTTCAGGAAAAGGTTGTACAATACACCAGACGTATAACCAATTCACTATTTCCTATTTACATCCTCCTATTGTTTTTTCTCTTTCTTTACATATTACATCACTAACTGTATTCATATAGCATTATTAAAAAACTCTTTTCATATAAAAATGAGGAGATATGGTATGACTGCAAATGAGACAACTGTCCACCACATATTTGACTCATATTTGTAATTAAAATGACAAATTAATAACTCTAATAAGATGTCATCAAAGATTTTGATATATTTTCAACTCTTTGATGTATTAAAACTTCAAGACGAGCCCATATCCCTTAATGTTTCAATCAATGATAGATCACTCCATGACAGTAAGAGTTTCCTATTAATCCAATTATTGTAAGTATGACCACTATCATGCTTTACTGAGTCAGATATGATATTTCAAAGGCGGGCTGGAGAAAGAATCTTTTTCTCATTTTAGCATAATATTCAAATGATTAAAATAACATTGATGACACGAGAGGAAGAGAGATGTGTACATAGCTTCACTAAACAAGTTGGATGAGACATGAATTGTCTTAGTCTAAAGCAACATTGTCATACTCTTATGTCAAGCTCTTAGTTATTTTGAGACTAGATAAGTTGCTGATAAAAAAAAATAATGCTTTCTTTTTCTTAATGTGCCCAGGAAAAGCAGTTGATAATGACCCTTCTAGGTCCATACCAATCATACTCACTAAGAATAAGATTAGTATTTTTCAAACTACATTTTTTCCATAGCCAAGTACTGATAGATTCATTGTTTCTTTATGCCACATCGGCCAATATGGCTATATCGTGGTGACTTTTACTTACCAAACTTGCCGTGGTAACAGGATTGGTGCCATTGCAAACAATATCTGTTTCCTTGGTTAACTCAACTGCATGTTTACTTTTGGAAAATGCATCACAAATTTTCTGCAATACAAAGATGAATACTGAAATCAACATTTCCCTAAACGTATACTCCTATGAACATGTATCCCACTGTATATACATAACTGTAAGATGGTAGGCATCAATTCTTGACAAAAGAATAATTCATAGGTAGAGTTGGGGATCTTGATTTTTCATATAGTGAATAAGCAGTTTTCTCTTTCAAGATTGTAGGATTAATCATATAACATGAAACCTTTTTACTACAAACAATTGCACATTGTTTCGAGGTTTGCCTAGTCCACAATACACATACTTATGAAGCTCAAACAGGAGCTTAAACATTCATTTCAATGCAGCAATGTCAACTATTTAAAAACTTTGTACACTTTGTCTCAACTTCCATTGCTTCTGTCAGTGTAAAAGAGGAATGTTGACTGCCAAAAGTTAAGTCCATTTATCAGTTAAATACTAGAAATATATAAAAAAAATTCAAACTTTATAATCTTTTGCTACAGGCATCATCTGTTAATCACAAAAAGGCTTCTTCCAAAATTTCATAATATTCTATTATGGTTTGACAAAGTAATTGATGTCTGAAATACTTGAACCCCAGACTGTATCTAAAAAAAAGAGGCTCATGAGAGCCTGATATCGCTCACCTGCAATTTCGGTTTCACGCATTTGACTTATTTGTAGATCTTACTTTGCTGAACAACTTTGTCATTTACACTTTCTCTCTTTCTATAATAATATTAAAGACAATACATAACCCAAAACTGTAAAATTTCCTAAAATTAATTTTTCTGGACAGTTACCAAATAACAAGTTGTCCTATTGGTCTAAAGATTACTTGACAGGTAGATCTAAACCTGTTTAAAACTTTCACCTATGTCAGTTTTGCTCTTACTGCTTTAGTTTTTGAGATTAAAGCCAAAAACTTCATTTGACCCCAATGTTCTTTTTTTAGAAACTGCTGCCATGTTTTTGAATGGAACAAATCCCTGAACACAATCTATAAACTAGATACTCTAAAGAACATTCAATTAAAGTTTTTAAGTATTTGGCCAAGTAGTTTCAGAGAAGAAGATTTTTGAAAAAGTAATTAGACTTTCACAAAAATGTAAAAAAAAAAAAAGTTTGAAGGGCAATAACTCCTTAAGGGGTTAATTGACTATTTTGATCATGTTGACTTATTTGTAGATCTTACTTAGCTGAACATTTATTGCCGTTTATACTTTCTCTCTATCTATCATTATATTAAAGAAGATAACCAAAAACAGTAAAATTATTAAAAATAAACTATTTCCAACAGTAACCCAACAATGGGTTGTCAAACTTGTCTGAAAATTTCATAACAGATAGATCATGACCCATTTATCACTTTAACTCCTTTCTATGTTCTATTTTTAGCCATGGCAGCCATATTTGTTGATGGATCAAAACTTCGGATACAATTTATAAACTAGATACCCTAAGGAACATTCAGTTAAAGTTTGGAAGTATTTGGCCCAGTAGTTTCAGAGAAGAAGATTTTTGAAAAAGAAATAGACTTGCATGAAAAAATGTAAAAAATAAATGTTTCAAGGGCAATAACTCCTTAAGGAGTCAATTGACTATATTGATCATTTGACTTTTTTGTAGATCCTACTTAGCTGAACATTTTTGCCATTTACACTTTCTCTCTATCTATTATAATATTCAAGATAACAACCAAAAACAGTAAAATTTCATAAAAATAAACTATTTCGGACAGTAACCCTACAATGGGTGGTCCAATTGGTCTGAAAATTTCATATCAGATAGATATTGACTTATTCATCACTTTCACCCAGTCACTTTTGCTCTAACTTCTATAGTTTTTGAGATAAAAGCCAAAAACTGCATTTTACCCCTATGTTCTATTTCTAGCCATTAAAAATTAGTTAATTTCTGTGTCATTTGGTCTCTTGTGGAGAGTTGTCTCATTGGCAATCATACCACATCTTCTTTTTTATATATGATGAACAAATTGTGTAAAATTGTCTTTAAAGGGCAATAACTCCTTAAAGGGTCAATTGACAATTTTGGTAATTTAACTCTTATGTAGATCTTACTCTGCAGAACATTTTTGCTGTTTACAGTTTATCTTTATCTTCAATAATATTCAAGATAATAACCAAAAACTGCAAAATTTCCTTAAAATTACCAATTTAGTGGCAGCAACCCAACAATGGGTTGTTCGGTTTGTCTAAAAATTTCAGTGCTGATAGATCTTGACCTATTGAACATTTTTACCCCTTGTCAGATTTGCTATTATGGTTTAGTTTTTGAGATATAAGCCAATAAAATGCTCCGCTGGGGCGCAGCTTGATACGACCGCAGAGGTCAAACCCTGAACAGTTGGGGCAAGTATGGACACAACATTCAAGCTTGATACAGCACTGAATTTGGATTGTAATTAAATATTTGACACAGCATAGGTTTCTGACACAGAATGAAAGTGGTCTAAGAACTTATAATTTTTTAATTTACCTATTCATACATGTGATGGACTGTGAAACTCAGATCAGGAGATTGGGAAATTTTGGTCAGGAGATTAGGACTCAGATCAGGAGGTTTTTAATCGACATAAATTTTGTCGTAAATGTAACCGTGTTCTGTAAAAATGGTCTTTTAAAGTGTGTTTTCTTCAACTTTCCATCCAATTTATTATGTTTATAGTACCCTTGTACTTATAAAGTTTCTCCATCTTTATATTTTACATGTTCAATCTAACATTTTTTTTTTTCAGTATGTTCTTTAAATTTTTTACTTCATATTATATAAAACATTTATTGCAACCAGAACATTAGTTTAACTATCTGCAAATAGCTTTTGTTTGCATACTCAGAAAATCATTCTAACTGTGAAACCAGGGTCATAGTTATTATATAAATTTCAATTTAAGCCTTGAAAGGAAGTATAGAATCCTCAAATAATTTTCAAATTATTATTTTTTTATTTGTCCTAAGACATTTAAAATCATTTATTTACCATCCTTTTATAATTATTTGTTCAATTTATATTTTATTTATATTCTTTTAAAAATTTTCATTATTAAAAGGAAAGTAACTTAAAACAGGATAAATCAAGGGAAGTAACCCAATAAATACACAGTTTTTGTTACACAACGGCAGTTAGCCCGAGGTAAAAAATCATTGATTACCAGTATGTTTGACACCCAAGCTGACAAGTGAAGCCATATAATTATGCATGTTAATTGATTTACAGGTAAAATATAACTTCAGGTAATGTGAGTTACACCAGATGCCTGAGATGATATGTTGGGCAGAAATTTTTCATTCATGAAAAATTTCATACACGGGATTATAATTTTCCTCTTCAACCGGAGGTCAGGAGGAGCCTCCTGAAAACAGGATTATTGTACACCTGTCGGGAGGTTCACATGTATGCTATTCAAACCATATCATTATTATTTGCTTTTATATATAAATCAGAAATAACCAATTTAAAATGGAAAATTTTAAAGAAAAAAAAGGAAAAAAAAATCCCCCCCCCCCCCCCAAATTTTTGAACCCCCTTATGATTCATCGCCCCCACACTCAATCCCAGCTTTACCTTTGTGGTATGGTACCTTGCAGTACAATTTTAGAGAGATCCATTCACTTGAACACAAGTTATTGTCTGGAAACTAGAAAAATGCTTGTTTTTTTGTCCCTTTTTGGCCCCTAATTCCTAAACGTTTAGGGCAATTACCCCCAAACTCCAACCCAGCTTTCCCTTTGTGATATGGAACCTTGCAGTACAATTTCATAAAGATCCATACACTTACAAACAAGTTATTGTCCTGAAACTAGAAAAATGCTTGTTTTTTGCCCCTTTTTGGCCCCTAATTCCCAAAATTTGGAGGAAATCACCCCCAAAAATCAATCCCAGTATTCCCTTTGTGATATGGAACCTTGTGATACAATGTCAGAGAGATCCATACACTTACACACAAGTTATTGTCATGAAACTAGAAAAATGCTTGTTTTTTGCCCCTTTTTGGCCCCTAATTCCTAAAATTTGGAGGCAATTACCCCCAAAATCAATCCCAGCATTCCCTTTGTGATATGGAACCTTGTGGTACAATGTCAGAGAGATCCATATACTTACACACAAGTTATGTCTGGAAGTTACAAAAATGCTTATTTTTGGCCCCTTTTTGGCCCCTAATTCCTTAACTGTTAGTACCATAACCCCCAAAATCAATCCCCACCTTCCTTTTGTCGTATTGAACCTTATGGTAAAATTTCATTGAGATCCATTCACTTAAACTAAAGTTAGAGTGCGATAACTAATGTGTATTCGGACGACGACGACAACGATGACGACGCCAACGTCATACCAATATACGACCACAAAAATTTTTTTGCGGTCGTATAAAAACTGCATTTGACCCTTATGTTCTATTTTTAGCCATGGCGTCCATGTTTGTTGATGGATCAAAACTTCGGATACATTTTATAAACTAGATACCCTAAGGAACATTCAGTAAAAGTTTGAAGGTATTTGGCCCAGTAGTTTCACAGGGGAAGATTCTTGAAATAGTTTACGATGACGACAGACACCAAGTGATGGCATAAGCTCACATGGCCCTTTGGCCCAGGTGAGCTAAAAAGAGGTGAAAGATACCAACGGGACATCTAAACTCACAAGTCAAAAATAAACTGACAACACCATGACTAAAAAAGAAAAAGACAAACAAACAACAGTTCACAAAACACAGCATAGAAAACTAAAGACTGAGCAACACGAACCCCACCAAAAACTATGTGGCAACCGTAGTGTAGCTCATGTTAGTACAAACCCTGTAGTAAGTCTAAATGTTAACTGCAAAAAGTAAAAAAATAAGTCCTTTTTTCAATAAAATACAGAATAATTTAAAAATGTGTTTTCAGAATATTTCTCTAGAGATAGTCTTTTGATCATAAGAAAAACTACTGTACAAGATTCCTAAATTTCTATAAAGGTTTGAAAAATTTATTGATGTCTGAAAAACTTCAACTGTAGTCCATTTA